TGTTTTAATGTTAATGAAAAAGACAAACATGAAATAAAGTTTTCATTCTGATTTTAATCTAATATTGTTCATTAGTATTTGAGCTTTATTAAAAACTGAGTTAAATTTAAATCAGTTTAAACTCATGAAAATAAACTGAACTACTTGTTTTTAGTTGGCCTCTGCAGAAACTGGCTGTGTCAGTAAAATATCTTGTGGACCAGTGGGTGGATTTTAGTGACACTGTTAGATCTGGCTGCCTTTAAATGAAGACAAAATGTCAACGTTTTTTCAGTTTTATGTGGTAGTAGCTGAGAGTCGGAGGCCACATGCGATAAGAGCTAACAAAGCTAACAGGGCTAAACAAGCTAACAGGGCTAACAGAGCTAATAGAGCTAACAGAATTAACAGGGCTAACAAAGCTAACAGGGCTAACAAAGCTAACAGGGCTAATAGAGCTAACAGACTTAACAGGGCTAAAAAAGCTAAATGAGCTAACAGGGCTAAAAGGCTAACAGGGCTAACAAAGCTAACAGGGCTAATAAAGCTAACAAAGCTAATAGAGCTAACAGAATTAACAGGGCTAAAAAAGCTAACAGGGCTAACAAAGCTAACAGGGCTAATAGAGCTAACAGAATTAACAGGGCTAAAAAAGCTAAATGAGCTAACAGGGCTAACAAAGCTAACAGGGCTAACAGAGCTAACAGAACCACAGCTGAAGTTCTGCTCTAACCCATTTCAAACTCTGGTTCTGTTCTGATCTGTTTCTGGCACCAGGTGGCGCTGCAGCCACAGCTTTGTAAAATGCTGAGTCAGCGTTCAGTTATTTCTGCTTCCTACAGGGGCTCAGGAAGGACAAAAATGGTTTCACAGTCAACATTTTTGTTTTGTTTGTAAAATAAAATGTAAAGTTTTGTACATTAATGAATTTGTTTTCCTATAAGAGGGGTTGGGAGCGTGTCAGGTCTGAGCGCTCTCTGTGCAGATAAGAAGATTTCCCACAGCTGGCACGCTTCCATCAGGAGGAGCTAATCTGCGGGGACTTCTCCCTGGAAAAGAAAGTACTGTGTGAAGAAGGTCCCAGCAGCTAAATGTGGCTCAGATAATCTGTTTGATCCCTGGATTGAGGCACAGCCTGAAACAGAACCCGACAGCAGGAGGTTTCCACCGTGGAAACTCAGCTCTGCTGCCAGAAACACCTGAAACAGCTCAGCAACGTTTACTCCAGTGATGAAGTGTAAAAGGTCAAAGACAGGACCCTGTGGCACTACATGTCCCAGAAGGCTGTTCTGTAAGAGCCAACCAATCACAGAGCAGACAGACAGGCAGCATGTCTGCACTGACCCTTCCTTCAGAGGTTTTTCTGTTTAAGTTTCACTTAGTTTTCCTCAGACTGGTGGACCTGGACCAGTCAAGCCTTCAGCTGGTCTAGGATCAGACTGAGACAGGTGACGTTTTATCACCTGTCTAACCCTGAGCAGGGAACTCATCTAAAACCTGACGCTTCTTCTCAAACGTCTCTGACTGAATAAACTAAGAGTTTTTATGAAGAAACTGAGGTTCTTCATGTTTTACCTCCAACAGACAGAAAAACTCAATGGACCTTTCCCAGAACCTGAACCTGGGATTTCTGAAGTTTGCAGGGTTGAGTAGGTGGAAAAGGTCTAGTTTGGGATCAGATCTGAGAAACTGTTACGTCTGAAGCGGGTCAGCCGGTTATATAACCAGAACTCAGTGGCTCCAGGCTCGGTCTTGGCTGGGACAACTGCAGCAGAGCGACTTATCTCATTAAGGAGTTATTTTTGGTGATTTGTTGATTCTTCAAGAACCTAAGGGGGTTAAAGAGTCCTGACGTTCATTTTGAGCCTCCAGAGTCCCAGCATTCAGAACACAGTCCTGAGCAAATCAGCCCCACAACTACAACCTTTTAGAACCTTTTCTTGGATCTTTATCCTGAAACTAGACGCTGCAGAGAATCTTTACCGAACTCTGACTGAGAGGAAGTCGGCAGCTCGTGTCCGGCTGCTGAAAGCCTCTGGTCCTGCTCTTCTGGTCCTCCAGAAGCCATGGGGAACCACGGCTCTAACTTGGATGACATCCTGGCTGAGGACATGCACCACTGGTACAACAAGTTCATGAGGGAGTCCCCGTCAGGCCTCATCACGCTGTTCGAGCTGAAGGCCATCCTCAACCTGAAGGGCATCACTGAGAATGCCAACAGCTACGTGGAGCAGGTCTTCTTCACCTTCGACATGGACGGGGTGGGTCCCACAACAACACACAGACTATGGTAGATGCTGGTCCCATTACCTGTTTAGCTGAGACAGACCTCAGGTCAATAATTACTGGACATTTTTAGTCATTTTAGATGTGGGACCGATAATACAGTTTATTCTGTTTAAACAACTATTTGAATTAATTCTGACACTTCTTGGTGCACAAACCTTCATGGGTAAGATGAGTTTCTAGGTCTGAAGACACATAATCAGGAATTAAAGCTCAGAATTCTGTCTGGTTTGTAAATAATCAAACTCTTATTTCACAAAATATTTGGTTCTTTGGACAGCAGATGTAAAGAGGTTCCTCTGGGTATCAGTCGGTTCTTTGGACAGTGTTTGTGTTTAGGTTCCTCTGGGGATCTTTGTACAGAGGTTGTGTTGAGGTTCCTCTGGTCATCTTTGTACAGAGGTTGTGTTGAGGTTCCTCTGGGCATCTTTGTACAGAGGTTGTGTTGAGGTTCCTGTGGGTATCAGTAGATTTTTGGACAGTGTTTGTGTTGAGGTTCCTCTGGGCATAAATTGGTTCTTTGGACAGTGTTTGTGTTGAGGTTCCCCTGGGTATCAGTCGGTTCTATGGACAGTGTTTGTGTTGAGGTTCCTCTGGTCATCTTTGTACAGAGGTTGTGTTGAGGTTCCTCTGGTCATCTTTGTACAGAGGTTGTGTTGAGGTTCCTCTGGGAATCTTTGGGAAAGGGTTGTGTTGAGGTTCCTCTGGGTATCAGTCAGTTCTTTGGACAGTGTTTGTGTTGACGTTCCTCTGGGCATCAGTAGGTTCTATGGACAGGTGTTGTGTTGAGGTTCCTCTGGTCATCTTTGTACATAGGTTGTGTTGAGRTTCCTCTGGGCATCAGTCAGTTATTTGGACAGTGTTTGTGTTGAGGTTCCTCTGGTCATCTATGTACAGAGGTTGTGTTGAGCTTCCTCTGGGAATCAGTCGGTTCTTTGGACAATGTTTGTGTTGAGGTTCCTCTGGATATCAGTCAGTTCTTTGGACAGTGTTTGTGTTGAGGTTTCTCTGGGTATCAGTCAGTTCTTCGGACAGTGTTTGTGTTGAGGTTCCTCTGGGCATCTTTGTACAGAGGTTGTGTTGAGGTTCCTCTGGTCATCTTTGTACAGAGGTTGTGTTGAGGTTCCTCTGGGTATCAGTCAGTTCTTTGGACAGTGTTTGTGTTGAGGTTCCTCTGGGTATCAGTCAGTTCTTTGGACAGAGGTTGTGTTGAGGTTCCTCTGGGCATCAGTCGGTTATTTGGACAGTGTTTGTGTTGAGGTTCCTCTGGGTATCAGTCAGTTCTTTGGACAGAGGTTGT